CTTTTGTTTTACTATTGAGATTAGAATTATGGATAATTGAATTATATTTTGATATTTATCAAAATCAATTTTATGTTTGAACCTTTTGTTTTATGAGTGGGTAAAAATCGATTTTTTGCACCGTGATATTAAAATGTTTTTTTTTGTCTTAAGATAGTAAATTAATTTTTATATTAATATACGGGTTCTGTATTTAGTACAAATTTGTTCCATTATTCAAATTATATTTATGAAATCGTTAGCATATAAAACGAAAAACATAATTAATTAATTACATTTGTAATATTGTCGCATCTTATCATTAATTAATTACATGGGAAATGTCTCCATGTAGAGTGTCAGTTGCACAGAAGATCTTGTGCAATTGTAAATAAAATTGACATTTCATTATTAGCTAATAACGCGTCAAAGTGAGTCAGAATGAACGTTCGAATGATCGATTATTGTTCATTAACAGTGGCTTGTAAAATATTCTCTTTATCTTCGTAATACACATTGAAAGAAATATTGATGCATATTATTACTTCCTCGCTAATACCGTTCTCAATTCCTAGAGAAATTAGATTCTAGTACGAACTCAATCGACGCTCAACTCTTCACAGTGTATTTAGGAAGACGACGGTGAGAAAATTTACGAATAATTGTTCAATATGTAGATAGTATGGAAAATACAAAGCGTGAGTATACATATAGAAAAAGTTTTGAGGAATTTATTTAAGGATGTTCTTTTTTGTAATAAAATGCACATGAGAGGATGTGTAATCGTATTTGCATGCTTGTGACATTATTATACTTTTCAGATACTTGGTGAATCCCTTCTCGTATAGCTCTGTATATTTTTCTTACGCTGTTGTATTTTGATTACGTTAAAACTTTACGATCCAGTTTACTAGAAAACGACGACCCATCCTGTTTCTAATTATTTTTTTGCTGTATCTGATATCAAGCAGGACTTGAGTTGACTTTGTCAACAAAGGAATTTATATTTGATTTAAGATATGTTTATATTTAGTTTAAGATACACGCACGCACATCGGTATTACATAGAAATACTTTCCATGAAACTACGAGGATGACGAAGACCAATGCTACTTCCAGTATTAATAAAGTGCTCTTCATGTTTTCAGGTTATATGAAGATGAACTATTACGTGGTTCAAAGAGCTATGGGAAAGGATCGACGACGATGTCGTGGCCAAGGTCGCTTCGCCTGTGACAACTGCGATCGCCGGTATCATCAGATGAAAAACCTGAGGAGGCACGTGACGAACGAGTGCGGCAAACAGCCAACGCATCAGTGCTCCTATTGTCCGTATAAAGCAACTTACAAGTCATATCTTCAAGTACACATGATGAAACACGCCAAACATGGCTTTATACCTCGCATGTCCATTTCTAAGCATCAGGATTCATGAAAACTCTCTTGACGTATGCCTGTTAAGTAACGTCGACTTTTTATTTGCTCGAGTGTCGAAAACTTACCAAGATTTCGAGGATTGTGTAGAACGAAGGGTCAGTACGAGAATAAACAAGAATTTTCTCGTGCGACTTCTGAAAAATTTCTTATATATGCCGACAGTCTGAAGAAATTTCAACTATTACCTAAAACGTATATAATATATCGTAAAGTTTCGGTCTGTGTATATTTTTTTTTATTGATTTGTTTGACTCGTGATACATTCCATATTTATATTGTCATACTAACGTAGAAATCTGTCTAACAAAGATCATCTTTGCGGAATTTAATAAAGTCTACACATTTAATTCTAAAACTAATATCTCTAAAATTCCTTGTCAATCAAATCCCATTGTTTTCCTTATTCTTTTTGTTTGTTAATTACTTCCTGCAGCATAGACTCTAAATCATTAAGTCTTTGAGAATACAAGATGATAATTAGCGTTCGAATAACAATAATAAAGAGGTAAGTAGGGTTTAAGAAAAGAGGTCAGATACCTATCTTAATTGTTAGATATATGTGGATAATTCACACTGTATAGATTTCATAAGACAAAATAACATTTGTGTTTGTCTTTTGATGTTCACGCTAAATATTTAGTGGACGGCAGAGACGGAATGTCACGATGAGAACGGAGAACATTACTTTTACTATCCGAGCGCTCCCGGAAGAAGTTGATATCGTCACGAAGCATCACATTTCGCATTGGAAAAACAATGCGTGCTAATCGTTGGTAAACTTTTTTCTGTTTCAGTTGATCTGAAATACGTTGCGATATCCAAACACACCTGCATCACCTGCGGCAAAACTTACAAACACAAGCACCATCTGAAGCGGCACCACGATTTCGAGTGTGGGGTTGATCCGAAGTTCAAGTGCGCCTTTTGTCCACACAGAACCAGATACAAGGACAGCTTGATGAAACACATACTGGCGCGCCATCAGCATCTTCTAGAACAGAATTCGCAATATGGTCATCAACAGGTTTTCGAAGCGCATACCGATGTTGAAATGAATTTTCATACACAGGAAACCAATGCGTTCAATGTTTATCCTGATTTTACGCAAAATCTTTAACTTGTTTTATCGTATTAGTGTAATATATTTGATCGCTGCGTGGCTGAACATGGTTACCTTTACAAAAAAATATGATTGGGAATCAATAGTAACTTAAATTCAATTGGGGGAATCAATAGTAACTTTAGATATTCAATCATGACTGTTGATTGAGAAGAATAGTAATTATTAAACCATCAATAGTTATCATTGGTTAATAGTACTATTGACTCTGAATCTTTTTTTTTTCGTAAGGATAGATGATACAAAAAATTCTAAGAATATGTGAAGATTAAAGCTATATAAAAATTAGTTAAATTAAATCTTGGATTTATCTTTCAATTTCATGAACTATTAATAATGTGCTTCGAGATAATGTAACGCTTAAAAATTGCAAATACGACACAATATGTAAAAGTGAAATTTTTATTATTTACACGTACAAAATTAAATTTGTTGTATTTAAAATTGTTTTACTAATCAAGTACATATGTACGTATATTAACATTACAAAATAATAGCAATTATTATTAAAAAAATATGTTAAATTGGTAAATCTTTAGATTAGGGGATCCTCCAATGACCTTGACCTTGACAACATATGTCAAGGTCAAAGTCATTGGGGAGGGGCCATCGACATATAGAATGAACCGCTGATGGTAGTGATAGGGGTAGAAAGACGAGTAGAGTGGAGAGGCAGAAATAATATGATCGTTCTGTCTCTGTTTACTGAAGCCTCATTGGTTGTTGGATTAACAGCGACCAATAGTAATCAGTAGTTATCAGTAAACAGAGAAAGAACGATCATATTATTTCTGCCTCTCACTCTACTCGTCTTTCTACCCCCACCACTACCATCAGCGGTCCATTCTATATGTCGATGGGAGGGACCCTAATCTAAAGATTTACCGTTAAACTTTATTTCTTTTTATTGATTTATATGTCGTATTTTTGTATTTGAAAGGATATAAGATTGATGCCAAATCAAGAATTCCAGTGATTGAGAGTACGAGTGATAGTAGAGCATTATTATCGATACGCAAAATAATAAGAAGTAAATTCCTTCAAATTACTAATGTATTCCATTAAAATAACAAATTTAGAACTAAAGTAAATGTCTCGATCAGGGGACCTCCCTCCAATGACTTTGACCTTGACATATGTTGTCAATTCCTGTTGGATATTCAATGTATTTCATTTTATTTATATATTAATTTTGTTAAATAAGTTGTATCAGGTAATTGTCGTTACTTCTTTCCTTTAATATTTGTAAGTTAGATATAATAGGGATGTGTTAAATGTTGTTTCTTCTTCATTTTTGAAATATTTATCTTTGAATTTAAAGAAAATACAATACAGATTATTTCTGCTAAGATATAAATTTATGAATAATATCCTATCTATCACACATAATATTTGCTTTCTGTTCGAACTTCTCATTTCTTAATTCGTAATTCTAATTAAATTACGTTATAATTTGTTTATTATAATTAATTAATTTATAATAAATTAAATTTATTATAATTAATTAATTTAATTACGTTATACTTTGTAACTTTATTTCAATTAAAATTACGAATTACATTGTAATTTAACTAAATAAAAGACTGCATTTCGCATTACAATATAATTGAATTACATTGTGCATTTACAATTCCTACACGGAAAGAATTATTTCTTAAAATTTACTTTGAAGATATAGTTATAATACGATACAATATATTTCAAAAGTTTTTACCTCAGTAAAATTAATCAAATTTATTTTATACTTTATTGTTTTATTAATAAATGTGAGGGATTTACACATAAAAATTTTTTGAAATATTATATTGTCCCACGATTACCATATTTTCAGGGTAAATTTTAAAAAATAATTCTTTCCGTGTACATTAACTCGATTGTAATTCTGCACAATTCTGCTTTCACTCGGCCTCAATCATGAAATTCTTGGTCTGAATTTGGAAAGTCTATAAAGAAATTGATATTGATGCCAAAGTTCTGTCATCATAAAAGAGCTAATTATATTGTTAGCTACAATTTAAATAATTTTATAGAAGTCTTGTATAATATTGTTATTTTCGATCTCAACAAATTATGTATGTTGATAAAAGATAAAAAAATATAACATTTATGTCAAATAAAATTTCTTTATACATATATATATATATATATATATTATATATAATTATTATTATAAAAATAAATGTAAAATAAATTTATTCCCTGATCTTTTTTATTTTTCGATCAATAATTAATGAAAGTATTAAAAAAATGATGCATATATATATTTCTTATGTATGTTTATACCATTAAGAATTGTAATCACACATCATATATATTTCAGAAATTTTATATATTTTATATAATTTATATCATGCACACCAGTTGCTTTTTCGAGGTATTAACCGAACCAGTCGCTTATGCGAATTTAAGTCTCGAGTCAATATTATTGATATTGAACTTCATCTTTTCTCTTCTTGATTCGCAGGTGAGACGTATAGTCCGGCTAATTGGACGATACCTACTTTACCATCGACATCGCGAATTGCAATGTATACTAGACGTCTCCGTTCGATGTCTTCAAGTCAAGGTATAATTATCGGCGGAAAGGGTCCTCGTAAGTATCTATGCAACGATTGCAGCCGGACGTTTGCATTGAAGGCCTCGCTATTGCGGCATAAAGCGTATGAATGCAACAAGGGTCGTCAATCTCAGGACGAATACGATAAGTCGAGGAAGTCGAAGAAAAAACACGTATGCATTAGGTGTAACCGTGTATATGCGTTTTTCACATCACTGTGGCGACATCAGAAATACGAATGTGGAGTAGAGCCAAAATTTGTCTGTCCTATTTGCAAAGGTCGATTCGCTCAGAAAAGCAATCTGGATCGTCACGTGCGATCGAAACATTAAAACTGCAATTACTTTGACTTGTATTTGATATCATGACTTCAGCGTTGATGATGCGTTATAAATTGAATTTGTGTGATTTTTGGTGACTACATTAATCGTCTTCATGATTAATGTTATTTACAAGGAAAGAACGGTTTTGCTGAAATATGTATAAAAATTTAGTTATATACGAATCTAAAAATGATTTTGTTAGACTATTAAATAATTATATTGAATACTGAAACTGATTAGAAAATCAAAACCGTTTGCAGTATCATGCTTCAAAAATTCTTATAAAATCATTTAAGTTTCCTTATAATTTAAAAACAAATTAGGGAGAATGAAGGGCAATAAGAGTCGGGCGCAGAAGACGTCGCGCAATTAAAAACACCACTAATAAGTGACAAAAATCGTTTGTTCGAATAATGCTCTTTTGTTATAATAATAACGCTCTTACATGGTTCGACTAACTTTTTAGCTCTCTTCAGAGAACAAACTAATTAATATAACTAATATTAGTTAGTTCTCTCTCTCCTATTGCCCTTTATTCTCTCCAATTTGTTTTCAAATTCTTATGTCATTAATTGGTATATATATATATATATATTAATCCAACAAAATTATTTTTAGATCTTTGTTTAAATTTTTTAATATTTCAGCAAAATTATTTTTTCCATATAAATATCTTTTTTTTACATTATTTTCCCTTATCCCAAACTTTAAAGTGAAGACCTAGTTTGTAAGAGATTAGACAGAGTATCATAATTATTATATTAGCTATATCTAATAAATATTGAGCGATTACTATTAAAAATTACGATTAAAATCTTAAACTAACATTCTGTACATGTAGATAATGGATGAAATTATATATGCTTTGTTAATGATTCTATCAACTTTTATGATATTGTTATATAACATATTATGTATTAATATCATCAAAAAAATTTGTTTAATGTAATCCTTTTTTATATTAAATTATGTTGTATATGTTACTTTCAAATTACTTGTGAGAAACTTGATTTTTAATAGAATTTGCTGTAATTTTATTAGCGTACAAAGAAAGAAATTATGGAACTACTGGTTTCAATATAATTAATTATAATTATAATTAATTATAATTAATTATAATTATAATAATTATGTCCAAATTGATATAATGTATCTGATAATCGCTTAAGTGTATAATATTATAGAATATTAATAATAGACTAAATCAGGTAGTATATAAAATATTATTTGTATATAAAATATATACTACAAAATGTGAGATAAGTATGAAGACATCGTGTATCTGAAAATTAATGTGGTACTGTGTTTTAAACCAAAGAAAAGATTTCATCAATATTACTACAGTTCTTTTGATTGCTAGTTATCTATGTATAGCTATATAGTAATAAAGTAATAAAAATAAATATAAAAATAATCAAATTTAATCCACTATAACAATAAAGAAATAAAATTGTTTATATAATGGATTATCTGTTTTTCATTGTTACACGTGAGGAAAGAGAAATATTTTTTTACTTCGACAATTATGAGTGCGTTGCAGACATCCTTGATTATACTTTTGATATACTGTAACACGTGTTATGATGTGTGTAATATTTGTGCGGTTGAAGGAATGTAATAAAGTGTTCGCGTGTGCGAAAAGTAAACGAACACTGAATTCGTGCATGCAATTGATTTTGTCCCACCGTTCTTCGAGGTGCCTATTCTGTCCAGTTTTATGGGCACAAATCAACTTGAGTTACGTCAATTGTGTCAAGGCGTTTCAAACGTGAAGAAATACTCTAACATTGCTCTTTTTCGTTTGCAGGGCTCGTGTATGGATTTCAGAAGCCGCAAGACACAATAAATACGCCGTCACCACTGTTGCCGCTGACGTGTCCGCAATGCGGGCGAACGTACAAGATGCAGCGCAACCTGAAGACTCACATGAAGTTTGAGTGTGGTGGCCAGAGAAACTTCCTGTGCCACTTGTGCCCATCTAAGTATACGCAGAATATTAGTCTGCGTCGTCACCTTCTACAAAAGCACAATATGTACATACCACCGAAGTTCTCGGTACCTAAGCGTATTTTTAACAGAGTAGATAAAAATAAATAATTTACTCATGCAAAAAAATAGAACTGACGTTTTTGATAGATAAATCGCAATAATAGCTAATTTATCTACAGTTCCTTCGAATGGAATAAATACACTTCGTGAATCCTCGATTTCTCGGTCAGTCATATGCGATAAATAAAAAGATTTTGAACAATATGCAATTTGATACGTAATTATAAAATAGGAAACATATGTATGTGTATATATGTATATATACATATATATGTAACAGCAAGAATAAGAGTAATACGTTGCTTTTAACATTATTATAAATCGTTATTATAAAAAAAGTAACGGTAATATAGTGTTGAAAGTGACGCGTTAATATCCCTGTATAATAGTTCCAAGTTGAGAAACATTTCTGGAAATGATTGTTTTTGTATAAATTGTCTAAATGTTTCTTATAATCAATCATATTTTATTTCATTTTATCGTATCTTTTTTATCTTATTTTATTTTAATTTATTGTATTACTGCTTGAACTTATATGTAAATATTTATTATCGTGATTTATAATTTGTATGTGCAAAGACGCGGATTTTGAAGACCAAAGAATGATAAAATGCTCAATCAGTAGACGTTTACATATTACAAAATGTTGAACTTGTAATATGTAATATATTCCAGTTTAATGATACACGAATCGCCGAAATTAAATAAATAATTAATGCGATTCTTGAAGACTAAAATGGAGTGTATAATAAGACTTCGATTAATTGTTGGAAAAATTTGTTTCATGAAATGCAACATATATATCTTATTTATAATAAATTTTTAATAGACGATTGTATACGATTTATCCCTTATTCTCTTCCTAGCTTGAAGAAAAAAAAAATTGGCATCACAGGTTCGCAGTCGGAAAATACGTATTATTGGTGTTAACTTGAGAAACTTGCACTTACCGCGCTTGATACACTAACCGATTATTCCTCTTTTACAGAGTTGCTGTCAGTTGCGACACGAAACCTCGTGGACGAAACCTCCAGGAACAATCTAATCTTCAACTGTCATCAATGCGGCAGAACGTATCAATTGAGACACAATCTAGTGAAACATCTGAGATTCGAATGTGGCGGGCAGAAACATTTTAGATGTTCGCTTTGTCCTTCTAGATATACCCAAAACGGCAAATTACGACAACACATGCTGAATTCTCACAATATTTTTGTACCCCCATTACATTTTCGAAAGAAAATTTTACTTTCGGAAATTATGTTTGGGTCAAACAATTAGCCGTCTTGATTTAACAATAAACGGGCATGTTGCAAAATACAAATAATTTGCGAACCCTTACTTTCCTTTATCCTCGAATAAAAAAATATTATTGTAGCTATGATAATTAGAAGTTAATAAAATACGACAAACTAAATTTTTTTTATGAGTCTCGACGCATGGTGTGAAACAGTAACATAATAGTTGTACAAAATTATTGATATAATTGATGTAGCCGATTAATGGCGCTATATTAGCAAGCTTTATTTTCGTGTAACAGATTTTGATGCATCAGCAGCATGATTATTCTTTTTAATAATCTTTTGATTTTCTAGGTTATTACATTCTGTATTTGTACTTTGTATTTTATTTCGAAATTTTTGTAATTTATTATTCTGTATTTGTATTTTAAAATAAAGAATCCTAATCTCAATTTTGACAAATAAAAATCGTTTGAATATATAGATTTGAAGAATAATACACATATAACTGTAAAAAGTTTATCAGTCATTGTTTTGCGAAAAGTTCAAAATATTCTGTGTATTTCAGTTTAAGTATGGGATCTCAGATTTCTTTTTACATGCAAATTTTTGTTAAATCGCTTATTTTATATTTAAATTATACATTCTAAAAAGATATATATGGTATTATTATACGTGATGAAATAAAAGTAGTATGATTACCTTTTTGAAAGAATTTATGCTTAATTTTTTCATAAATAGAAACAGAAGTATAATTTACATTAAAACATGCATTTGTTTTGCATTTGAATACATAAATTATGACTTTTTTTTTATGGAAAAATTAAATTAAATTATTTCAAAAAATTTATTTTGCTATTTATTATGTTATGTTTTTCCAAATATAATCCAAAGTTAGAAATTATGATCCACATCCTTAGAATAAAATGTAACAATTGTATTAGTGTATATGTTAATGGTAAATCGCGCGAGATATATTTCTTCAAGACAAAGTAACTGTATTTGAGGCTAATACGATTTACCAGATTGTTCGACGGTCAACCACTGGGCTCCAAGTCACGTAAAACAAGGAGAAGATTAGTGTGCGATTTTCGTTTTACGATTCTATGTACTAATTAGCATATGAACGTTATTTTTTCAGGTTTTTACGAGAGCTTCCATCCCTCTGAAAATCCCGCAGTCTATGGCCAAAAAGCTCATGTTGCACCGACGAAGATCGCCAGAGTTAGAACGAATGTGAGGAATCTTGGCAACGATGAAGATCAGGCTCTCCAGTGTTCCGCTTGCGGGAAGAAATACTCGTTAAAGCACAACTTAGCAAGACACGTGCGTTTTGAGTGCGGCGGTCAACGAAGATTTTCCTGCCATTTGTGTCCGAACAAGTACACGCAGAATGTCAGTCTGCGTAGACATCTGACGCATCATCACAACGTTGTGATGCCCATAAAGAAGAGATACAACAATCCGAGGAAGATGTACAATCAAATCATCTATCAATAAAAACGACGAGTAAGACAGTTTCGTTGGAAGACGACGTCGAATATTGTAAATTCGAGAATTGGAAGAACTTGTGCCAAAGATTCGAGAATCGTCGAATGAAGATAGACTGGATTTCAAACTCCATGAAGTTTGCGCGTGAAAAACAACGTGAAGAACGTTTTGTATAAGCCTTTCGGTCATTACTAGTCTCTAGTTTTGCATAGTTACCAAAAAGTTAATAATAATTTCAATCTTTATATAAGTTGCTCTAATAAACGTTATATTGAAATTATGTGTTGTCATACCTTTAAGCTTGATAAGAGCGGATTTATAACATATAATATTAGTATGTTTTTTTTTTCTACTACATTACATTACCTTTTTAGAATTCGTTTCGTTGTTTGTATACATTATAGAATATGAATTTTTGAGAAGAATTTTATCTGTGACAAAAATGCTTGCGCGAAGTACAAATTAATAATAACCGGTATTTCGTGGCTTGTTTACGTAGTAAGAATGAAAGTGTATAAAATCATTTCAAGCGATTTGTCATGATAAAATATTCTCGCTTTTTGCATGCTGATGTTATCAGACGGCGTAAAAAAAGGCTATGACGAGAAATCAATTGATATCGTGTTTAAGTTTGTCTTTGTCGATGTCTTAAGATGTTTTTATGAGAACACACAATGTTGTCATTGATCTCCCGCGTTCGCGTCAATCTAGAACTTCATTTTGCCAAAATTCGATCGCTCATCAATGTACCACATGCGTATAGACGCATTCTCAGAGTAACATTTTCTTTCGTTTAGCAGGTTTCTCGAAGTCCCGCCCCTTCGTCTGTCGAAAATGTGGACGCTGCTACACAATGCGCTGCAATCTGCGCAGACATACGAATTGGGAGTGCAGTGGGAAACGCTATTTCCCATGCTTCTACTGCAGCAAACGTTTCACCCAAAAAACGAGCCTTGATCGGCACTTGAGGGGAGTCCATAAAATCGTCAACGGGATAGAATCTAATCTTATGTAGACTATTTACCATTGTACTCCATCATGGATCGTGTGTGGCTCCTAAGAAATTAGTGAGATACGTGAGCGATCTCTTTTCAGTTTATAATAATTCTTCGTTTAGTCCCTCCTTTCCCTTTCCCAATGGATGTCAATAATTGAAGGTAGATTGTGCGGCTAGTCGTCACTTTAAATATGCAATTGAGTTATTCCGTCGATTGTCGATCGATCGGATGATTTTATGAGCCGCGAATTTTCGTTGACCACGCCAAACTCCTTTTCATGTCTCTTCTCGAGAAGTCGAAACGTGATCTAGCGGGTTAACGCGGATCAGGTCTCGATCGTTAAGACTCGCGTCTAACGATCTCGGTCAGCAAGGTGAACTCACGACTAACACGACTGTCATCTTCGTCTTCTTCCAGGTGTAGTCTGGACAACCATTGAGCCGGGACCGCCCCGGAAGTCGCGACACGCGAGTTACCTGAAGGATGAGGATCTCACCCTCAAGTGTCCCCAGTGTGGCCGGGGTTACAAAGTCAAACCCAGTCTTTCGAAGCATTTGAAGTACGAGTGCGGCGGTCGCAGGAACTTTTCCTGTGACCTTTGCGGACGCAGTTTTACGCAGAACGTCAGTCTGCGCCGTCATCTGATGCAGAGCCACAACTTTTATCAACCGCCGAGGACGCAGTGTGTCCGGAAGATCGTCAAGTGAAGATTTTGCCGTCTTGTTATCGAAGATCCATTCTTGGAACGCGCGGTTGTCTCATCGTCTCGGAAGTGGAAGTCCTACGACGACATTTCTGTGAAGAATAATTCAAGTGGACACGCTTGTTTAATAACTGTACGATCTCGCGTGACTTACCGTGAAAATTGTCATTTTCGCGGAAGGTCATGGGAGGTCATACAGTCATTAACCAATGATAGATTATCACCGAAGATTCTAGTCTAGCGCTCCTTAGAAGATTAAGTAAAACTTGTAAACCCGTGTACACATCAGATCACTCAACAATCCTAATACAAATCCGAAGATTATCATACGAAGAACATTATTACAATAGTATACCTTATACATGATCTACGCGATCCGATTCTTACAAACCGGATTGCACAGCATTAATAAAGTTTTAGATGATAACACTTCGTGCCTAGATCCACAAATATATATTATTTATAGTAGTAAATGTAACAATAAATCAGTCTCAATGAGACGCTGTGGTCGTTTGTTGCCTCCACATTTCTCTATGATCTTCGCTCGATGCGGATGCACGCTGTCTTCCATTGAAGATTAATTTTTTAAACGAAACTTCACAATCTCTTTTGTAATAATGATTTTTTATAATGTTTATTATCGATAATTTTTGTAACTCTTGTAAATAGTTTGTTGAAACTTGCGCAGTATTTTTTATGCATTTAAAGTCTTTATTATTATTATGGCGCACACGCTATTCCTAATTTTCTTCTCGGCGCCGTCTTATGCCGGGAACTTCGTATCGCTACTACATGTACGTATGTATTCAACAATTATTACTGGAATATACGTATACCATTCCTTCTATTCTCTCCCGCTGTTTTTCATGACATTCGTAATTATCCATGAATGAAGTTGCGAAGTCGCGTGTTTTTTTAGTCTCGTTAAAAGAACTTTATTATTTAATTTCTTTCAAGCATTCTTAGATAATGCGATCGAACTTTTTTAAAAACCGTTTATTTACACATTCTAATACACATATGTATTTCCCTTTTGTCACTCTTTTGAATTTTTAATTTCCTTTTATTATCGATTTGATCAATTTTTTACCACTCGGGACTCAATATACTTAAATTTATTTATCGCAACAAACTAACAGCTGCTTCTTTAATCACCATCGATATTAATCGTCGAAATCCGCGATTTTCTGAATCTTTTGAACCTTCCATATTTATCCCACTATCCGTCTTCAAATATTTCCTTTCAAGGCGTAATAAAGCTTTTATTTTCTTTTTTTCTGCCTAAATCCGATTCCACCACGATCTTCCTTAACATCACCATTTTGTTTTTCAGAAGTGAAATCGGATTTTCTGAAGCCGCTGATATCATCCATGGCTGCGATTGATATCTCCGCTAACAGTTCAGTTCAGTTCAACACTGGTCTTTCGATGTCACCTGCGTCTGTACCTGTCGATCTTTCGATCGATCAGGTGAGATATCGAACTGTCGCACCTGTTGTGTCTGAAATGCAAAACTGCAACTGGATGTCGCAAACTCACAAAACATACAAGTGCCCCAATTGCGAAAGGCTTCTGTCTCATCGGTATACCCTGAAACGCCATCTTATAACTGTCTGCGGTAAAAATCGCAACACTACCGGCAAATATGAGTGTAAACGTTGCAACAAAAGGTACGAATGCAAGGGGAGCCTATCTCGTCATCGTAAATTTGAATGTCGTGTGACCCCCCAGTTTTGGTGCATTGTTTGTAAGAAAAGATTTACTCAACGAAGCAGCCTGAACAGGCATCTGAAGACAAAGCACTCCGAAGAAGTTATCAACAATACCGTTCTTGATGAGTTCAAAGTCGTCCAACAACAGAACAACTTTAGAAAAAGCAACAATATTTCTAAGCTCGGTCGCATGAAAAGCAAGTTGTAATATCGCGAGAACGTCGAAAATAATGCTACATTTATTCTTGTCAAAAACTCCTCAAACCGATTAGAAGAAGAACATGAGACAATCAGTTGTTAAATAAATAATCAGAGGCAAAATGATCGTGTTAGTAGTTGCTGTTGGTTTTTTTTATAAAGAATAAATCTCGGGAAAAATAAAAATGATAGATCAATTATTGTTTAGAAAATGTATTGTACGAACTGGATCGAGAAAAAGGCGTTACTTTAAAATTGCTTAAAAAAGCAAAAGTTCCTTGAGAAAAAAGAACAAAATGAGCTTTAAAATCGTAGGAATTGAATTTTTTTACTGTTTGGGAAGAAAGTGATTTCTCCGGACAGTTTTAGAATACGAAAAGGTTCCTCATGAAGAAAGATTTATTGTAATAAGCGTCCTATGTCGTTACTAATCGGAGGGTTTTCTCTTCGAATTATAGCGTTTGGTTAATCTTTAGAACAGGTTAGTTTTTAAGAAAAATCGATAAGATTTGCTTTCAAATTGTTAAGAATATCTTTTTGTTTAGAACAAGAGTTCAGACATAATTTTAAATAGAAGAGTGAATTATCTGAAAATTTTTCCTTTAACCAAAAAATGTTTTGGTTTTTTCCACATATGAAGAATAGATATGCATTGCTACTCAATTTTTAATACAAAATGTATGCGTTATCTTCTTGTATCAAAAACATACACAGTTGGAAAATTTGTATTTTTGTGAAAAAATCACATACTCGAATATTAAATTAACACAAAAATTTGAGTAGACCGTTTGGGACATGCAATTTATGTTAAATTTAACATATTTTTTCCAACTGTATATATTTTTTTGTATTTATTATTATTGTTATCAAATAGCTTAACAGTATCGATTGTGTAATATATTATGCATCTTCTGTCTTTTTTAATTTTACTTTGTAATTGTACATATCACTTATACAGATGAAAATTTCTTAGACAAAGGAAAATTACATTGAAAGTGGATACGATAAGATGGATTAAATGTCATTAATAATATATTCCACAAAAGTTCTTGACTATATATGTTAAAATTATTTTATATTAAGTGTTATTATTTATTATAGTATAAAAATTAAATAACCTGTAATTGACAATATATAAAAAATATTTTTATTTGGTTAAAACAAAAATTAAAAAATATAAATTTAAAGCGTTATAATTTTTTAAGTAAAAAACTCATTTTCCGAAGTTAATGTACATTTACGGTTTTTTTTTAGTGTTAAAATTAAATTTTTTACTACAACGCGCTATTGTTCCATTTTCTTAAAAGATGAAATTATACAATATAGTGTAATTTTTTTAAATAAATAAAATTAATATTATTGATTTGGTAAAATTTTAAAAATGATACGGATTATTTTATCTTAGAATTAGGTCATAGAGTTAGAGAGTGATTATTTTAGCCATCTTGTAACTTTTTGAACTGTAAAGGGTTAAAAGTTTTCAAAAATGGCGTTTTTTTTAAGCATCTCTATATTTAATTTTCTCGAAAATTAAATCTAAAAACGATATAAATGAATTTCATTTACGTTTTTAACAACAAAATATAAAGATCATTTGATTCCATCCGTGGTCTAAAATCTGTGCCGGATAGTGTTTTTTTTTTTTTTATAGATTTTTCTTTACATTCAATTTTCACTTTCAATAAGCTCGGAGAATAGTAGTTTATATACGCAATTTAAGAATTTGCATGATTGAATATAGTGTTATGATAAACTATCGAATTATAGAAATCTGAACTCTTGGATTCGATCACGTTATGTTACAAATTATGTACGTTATGTTTATTATGTAAGATTATATTTAAGACTGTTCACGACTATCTTTGAGTGTGTAATGATACTCTGGAAAGAGCCGGTAAAGAAAGAAGAATTAGCGACACGCTAGGAAAAAAAAAACGAGTTAGCGTCGTGATATTTGGAAACTGATTTACGTGCCCATCTCTTGAAAAGTGTCTTATAATTGTTTTGTGATTTGCACATCGATAATATATTACAGCATAATGTTTTTAAGGCTTTCATGGATATTATCTTCAAAGATACCAGAAGGTTTGCGGGTTATTACCGCATTTTTATCTATTGCTAATGCCAACATTTCGTGAACTTTGCCGTTCATTTTATCAGGCTGAGGTTCACGAAACGTTGGTATTAGCACTGGCTAAAAACCCGGCGATAACTCGTAAATCTTCCGATATATTACAGCATAGTACACAAACGTAAGCTTCGTTATTGATTTTTCAGAGTGTTATTAGAGCGAGAATATCACGTGTTTGTCAGTATCTGTCTGTAGCATAGATGTTTGACGTTATGTTTTGTCCGCTTTCCCGTGTTATGCGTTTGACACGGGGATACGCTTTGAATAATTTTGAAGTGCGAAGCGCGAATTTCAGTTTGTGATGATGATGATTAGTAACTTTCTTGACATGCTGCTATTAAAGGTTTCGCGTGAAAGTAGAATATACAGTTCTTCTTACGTCTCTAACTCGAGTATTTTGGTACTTTAACGCCGTATTAATTGCTCGGGACAGTTTTTCCTCACCACTTATTTACTACATTGACACAACGGAAGGGATTTAGGCTAAGATAATATACAATGGTGCACTTAAGAAGGTTTTTCAGTGACATACGAGCGTTACGATTCGAATCAAATTCGCTAAGGGGTTTCGGGCGATGTATAATTGTTAAGTGAAATTGCGAAAATGGATAAACGCACGTTTACCCATTTTGAGACTGCTAAATTTAATTTTTGTACATCTACGACGAATAGGAAATTATTGGTCATATTTGTGCGTTTCGGCTGTGAAGATTATTATTAAAAACTGTTGGTTTTTAACTTTTTTTTAAATAAAATAAAATTTAAAGGAATTTTATTCTAATTGACGCGTCGTGTTTAGATATTAATATATGCGATAGAGAGAAATATAGGCGAAAGATAGAAGAGGTAATTAGAGAAACATCCATAAGACAATTGTCGCGTTTGCATATGAATTTGAATTTGCGGAACGTTCGTTTGCATTGATCGATACGTTATATAGGGGAGAATGTTCTAAATCGGATCTTTTTAATTTAAATAAATACGGTTAAGCAGATTTGCTTGCTATTTATAATGTAAAGCCCTTATAAGACACCGCACATGTGACAGCAGTTTGGCAGTACTCTGTTATAACGTTCATAGAATAGACGCAAATATGTATTTTCGGCTATCATGAAAAAATTTTTTTAAACAAGAAGATCCTTGTAAATCGTTGTTTAAAAGACGTTAAAAATTTGAACGGTAATTAATTTAACATAATTAAAGAGTAGAATTCAAAAATATCAAGAGTTTTGTAATTACTTTTGCGGTTTATTGTAAAATTTGTTCCAATAGTTTGAAAGAACCCGTGTCTAAATCGGATCTCTCTTTGGATATCCAAATCGGATCTATATAAAAAATACTAAAAAGACGAGTAAGCCAGCTAATTCATCGAAGAAAGATTTGCCACAACCTGATTATAGTACTAGTGATCGACCAGATCTGGCCTATGGGACACTAAATAAATAAAATATCATGTGTCATCAGACTCAGATTGATGGAATTTTTTATTGATTTTAATTCTAATAATATAAACTGTATTTTTATCTTTGAGTCTTAAATTGCTTGTTTTTATTCAATATTAACAAAAATTAATTAAAATATTTTAAAATTCTATCTAAAAGTTCATAAAAATAGGAGAGGTCCGATTTGGAACTCACAAACCGGAAAATACATTTTTCAGTATAGTTTGACACAGGTAAGAGGTACGTCAAAATGGTCTAAAGCAAAAATGAAAGAAATTAAATGATCTTTCGAACGGCACCATTGGTTTTTATGATAGGACTTCATTTACACCTTATAGAAAAGAAAAACTGTAAATAAATCCGATTTAGACTACTCTCCCCTATATGTATAAATATATATATATAAATATATGTTACGATTATATGTATGTCTTGCGAGATACAAAGGGAGTACAACTTATGACAAAATTTTGTTGTTCTGTAAAATGTTACTTATACATAATAAAAACGTACGGTTTACACACGCCCTGCTGTCTTATTATGTCTCCGGCTGGCTCGCAATTGCGATTGGACTTAGTTGCTATACGTTCTATGAGCTACGACACTCCTTAGGGTAGTATCTTTCCACGTTCTTCGGAACATAACTTCCTTGTGCACCTCAGATTCGTCAGACAATCATATGCAGACAGAGAATCCATTCGGTTATGTAATTTCTTGAATGCTCTCAATACTTCTCTTAGAGTGTAGGAAAAGGCAACACACCTCTCCAAATTCTACAATTTCCTCTTCTTTCTGTTTGAATTCGAAAATTATATCGATGAGCGACATGCTGCCGTCTGCTACGTACAGGGTGTTTTATGTCGCGTTTTAAGGTATAAAACGTATCGAAGACAAAATTGAGTAGAGAGAAGCGTTACAATTTTGTGAATCATATGATTGAATTAGCTTTTTCAAATATCTCTTTCATACTCATATTTTTCTTTTAATCTTTAAAGTTCTATGTAGTATTTGACAGTATTTTGTTTACTATGTTTGGTCAGTCGAGGAATTCTCTTGTTAGCAGATGTGAATGAATGAGTCGATATTCATGATTTGGAAGGACTATCAAGTTAAATTTAATCGATGATACAGCAGAAGCAGCATGATTATAATCCAATCTTATTCTCTCTCTCTCTCTGTTCCACGAATCTTTATTATTAATTATTATGCTTACATAAGATTCTGATTGTGTTTCAGCCAAGCAGCGATTCTTCTGCGACGGATTGCCGCGTGACATTTGGAGACAGTGCAAGGATGAGCTACGATGCCTCAAATGCATGAAAACGTATTGTGACTGGCGTAGCCTACGGAAGCATATGAACTTCTTCTGTCAGATGGAACCGCTCTTTCCGTGCCCATACTGCTCCCACAGAGCCAGAATTCCTACCTTGTTGAAGTATCATATTGTTCGTGAGCATGTAGGCCGTCCGTCGATCGAGCAGACGTATTAAAATCTTAATTTTGGCTGTAACGAAATGAAGAGATGATACAGCGTGTAAGAATATATTTCTGATTCGTAAATGAACTTTCGTGAAAGTGCATCCATCTTATCGAAAGGTTATGTAGAACGTTTGAATATTCTGCGAATAATTTTGGTCTTCTAGAAAAGTAAAGCGAATTTTGTGATCTGTGGTAAGAATTTTTTTATTAATAGGACCGTACATGTGAGAAACACAACCAATGAACAAAAATTGCCTTTAACGGTGGAGCTTAGGTGCTATTATAATTTCGTGTGAATTTATATATTACGTATGTAGTCTTTTAAATCATAAGCCGAACAATTTTTCGGTCTTGAAACTCTACTCTGCGAAACTACCGCAATAATATCGCGAGTTAAATTATCTACCAATTTAACAATTTTCATGCTCATAGCATCTTAGATCTTAATAATGACGTTGAATGACATTAAAAATAATTAATTTGTATTGCGAAAAATATTACCTCAGCCGAGAGTCGAACCCGGATCGCTAACATTTCGTGCGAGTTAGACTACCGAGATCTTATTAATATTAAGGTAATATTTTTCGCAATATAAATTAATTATTTATAGATTTTTAATATGTCATTCAACATTATTAAGATCCAAGATGCTATGAGCATCAAAATTGTTAAATTAATAGATAATTTAACTCGTGATATTATTGCGGTAGTTTCGTAGAGTAGCGTTTCAAGACTGAAAAACTTGTCCGGTGCGCGGCTTAAAAGATAATACATGTAATACATAAATTCACACGAAATTATAATAGCACCTAAGATTCAAGCTCGACCGTTAAAGGCAATTTCTCATTGGTTGTGTTTTTTATTAACCATGGAGAGATTATATGGCCGATGGTGGGAAAGGCACGAGATTTCTCGCATAAGTTTGCATTACTTTTCCGAGAAATAAAAATTGTAAGAAAACCGTTCTTACTCAGTTAATTCTGCAGTTATTAAATGATTATTAACTAAATGTTAATAAATGCAGTCTAAATTATGTTGATTTATTATAATAAGTTCAAGTTACACATTATATTGAATTATTGTGTTATGGATAATAATAAAAAATATATGAAATTTATTATTTTATAATGCAAGGGAATATATGTATATTATTTATTGTATGTATATTCTATAATTGTCATTTTGTGGCTTATTTTAAATAATAAAATTGTATTAATTGCGATTTATAAAAGTATTGTTAAATATCAACATTTATTGTAAATTATATGATTTGAATATAGACTTTCTTACAATTACGACAATAATTATATATGATATTTGGTCCAAGTAATTATTGTAAAATTTTATATATATTTTATATCACACTATTTTTACATGCGATATATTTGTGCAAAATCATGTTGCTACTGATTTACCTCTACATCATGTATATATATATATATATGTGTGTGTGTATATATATATATACATATGAATTATGTTTTCTTTCTGAGATTTATAAATTAAATTTTCTTTCTAACAGATGTTGAACTTGTCTTTATTACAATATGTGACGAAATCAGAAATGTGATTGTATTAATGCAATAAATTGATATGCATTTTTTAGCAAGAAACTTTTATAATTAACCTCAATTATCTTTACTAAGACTATTCATCAATAAATTGTATTAATATACATATATATACTTCCGATTTCCATTTTCTAAGTATATTTCCGAATTTAAATCAACTTTGTCAAAGTTTGTGTTGTAAAATAAAATTTTATTTTTTATTTCAGATATTTCATAATGCAACGAGTTCAATTTGGTGTTTACGTGATATCATCGTTGTATCTCTCTGTGTTTCTCGCGCGTGTTCGCCAACTTTTATCGGAGAACATAAAAACTCTTCTCTCTTAAAAGTGGCCTCTGATCATTCTAATATTCTTGCGTCTAATTTGTAGGATTCGATCCGGCCGCGCAGCAATCCGAGGATCTTGGGGAATTCATAGGCAAACCCACCTTTATATGTCCGAAGTGTGGAAAGGGCTATGCGTGGAAGGCGAGCCTCCAGCGTCACCTGAGCACCGTATGTGGTACACCGCCCATGATTTTCTGCAATCTCTGCGGATACAAGACCAGTCGTAAGGATGTTCTCTTCAGGCATATGCGGCACGTGCATCCGAGATCACAGTAGCGCAATAACAAGGAGGAACGCCTTTTGTCCCGGCCAAACGCATCTCAATTTTCTATGGATGATCCATATCAACCTTAAAACACAATGAAACTCGCAATGCGAATGATGCATTTCTCAGTTTTATTGCAATTGATGCATATAACACGGTCTTAACCATAGGCATACGCAGAATTTCAATTAGGGGAGGGGGAGCAAAACATTATCTTCACACAAGATTTATTAAAACATACCTATATTAAAGCCTATCTTCGAGGTTTTTCAGCGAACTTTTTTAATACTTCTTCCTTCAGGTTTTTCTTTCTTTGCAAGTATCATATTTTTTTTTTATGTACACTTAATATACAAAGTCCATTGAGGCGATTTTGCGACATTATTGACCACAGTCAGGTTTTTACCCTTCGAAATGTACTAAACGACCTTTCAATCGTGCTCGTTGTGTACGATGAGCTAAAGAAATATGCAAGGCATGTTTCGTTGCTTGGGAGAAAAAGCTTTTTTTAATAACTTTATTAATTCCAATTCTTTCAGTTCTTCTCTTTTTTAATTTTTTTATTTCTCCAGAGAATGTATCATAGTTCGACTTCATTGTCAAAATATCTCAAATTGTAATAATTAGAAAAACTATGTACTTTCTCTTTAAAATCTTTTAATGTCATATCCAACATATTGTATAATACAAGGACATAGAGCTAATAATGAAAAAGCCGGTAAGTTCTCATCGGAAAATTAGTCACTTATTAACTTTTTCGGAAATCGACATGTTGGATTGACTACGGCTTACATTATGGCCTTACGACTCTGCTGTGATTGGACCTTATTATTCAAGATCGTAATGTCTTATAATTAGATTAATGTCTTAAATACCAATACGGTTTTCTAAAATTTAAGAGGGAAGCAACTGTGCTCCCCCTGCTTTCCTCTACGTATGCCCCTAGTTTCAACCGAAATAATATTAGATGTTATATTAGACGAGAATGACTGAAGTCTAGTCTACTAGACGTTAATATGCATTTTATGATTGCAAGTACAATTAAATATATTATAAAAAATTATACAATATTATATAAAGACTAATGAATAATGAGTAATTTTTAGTGAATTACGTAGACATTTTTTTTTAATCCTCCCTCATCTAATTTTTTTAATTTGACTATTTTTATATCTATTTTTTTTACATTTTACTGATGCAACCATTCTCTTAATATATAATATATATATATAGATTGTATGTGGATATAAGTAAATGGATGATATTGCTGATAATTAAATAAGATTAATTGTTTATAAGTTCATAATTTTCAGGAATTTCTACATATCTGCCTGAATCATTGCTTCGACGTTGTGATCTGTACTAGGTAATTTTATATCTCTTATACGAGTATTTTAGTCTATAAGAATAAGAAAAAGAAAGAAATGGATGAGATTCTAAACTTAGCAGCATGGATTTGTGTGTATATATATTTTAACAAATTTCTTCATTTTTATCTTATGGAACAGCTGAGATTGTTTAAATGAAAGCTGTTTAATTTTTAATATTTACAGTGATCTAAACAATCGATTTGTTTAACGTATGGTCGTATCAATGAGAAGTTACACGCTATATGACAGTTTATGACGATCAGACAAATCGTAGGTCTCTTTTATGCGGACGATTGTTTGCGATTATTCCTATGAAGCGAACACAGCTGCATTGTAGCTTCCTTTGTTTGTTTCAGATACTAGCGGTTGGAATTTGCATAAACGATATATGTGTCCTCACTGCAAGAAAATCTACGCGCCGAGGAGCCTGCTAAGGAAACATATGCAGTTTGCTTGTAAAATGAATCCGCGCAATACCACGACATTCTCCTGTACCTTCTGCCCTTATAAGAGCATATACAAGGCGAACATGGAGAGACACGTGAGCAATGTTCACAACACCGGCAGTCTCAAGTTCAGCTGCGAACTCTGCAACTTCCGCAGTAACTACTCCTTCTGCGTTCGCAGACACGTAAAGACCTTCCACCGGTTGGATGACTTTCGAAAATAAACTACAATATCTTTCTTCTTAAATTTTTATTTTGTTTCTATTTTGTTCTTATCGATGTACATAATAACGAGGAGCACTTTAAGTGCACATTGTTGCAATTGCCCACTGCCAATTACAGTGACTTTCACAAGAGGAAATTTTTCGGTGATTATGCAATATAACGGACCACCCTCCGATCTTGACTTTGACATATGTTGTCACGACTCCGAGTGATTTTGACAACATATGTCAAGGTTATCGGAAGATGGTCCGTTATACTGTATAATTTTTCTTTATTTTTTTTTTTTAGTATTTAGTTAGTATTTAATTGAACGTGTATAATTGTATTGTACACTATGTGTAAACAAGATCTTTTTGAAAAAATAATTCACGACGCGTGATCGTCACGAGTGTTTTCTTTTTAATTTTCTTATGAATGAACATGAAACGATTTATGGTTTCTCGAAAATTAAACTTTTTCGTATATGAGAACTTGTCCGTAAAACTAATGTAATTTGATATTAAATACATACATACATGTATATTTGTAATAGATACGTTCTTCCTTATTGTATTATATTTAATAATCATCAAATTAATAAAAAAATTAAAATATGATAAAAAAAATTAACGAACACTAAACATTATCTTTTCTTTTGTGCAAATTTAGCTGTTAATTTATATTACGTTCTTTTGGACTTTGGACATGAAGTTGTGCGTTGAATTGAGGATGTAAATGTCAATGATGATAAAAAAACAAAATCAAGATTATTTTTCTTGGTTATTTAAGTCAAATTTAGCAAACTGCCACAATATTTAATTGTATAAATATGTATATATATATATATAATTTATCTATTATACAATCGCATACGCTATCGTAAATTAATCTAATGACAATCAATTAGAGCGTGCGGACGAACGTGTACTGAAATAATTAATTAAATTGAGATTCTCCTATCAATTGAGCGTTCACAATCTCTCAAGATAAACAGCTTTATATAATTATTTTGATGTAGATTATGAAAACGAACATTTAAGATTCGTCACATTTAATTCACAGAAAAAATGTAATCAGAAAAATATTTTTATTAATGAAAAAAAATTTATGATATATTGGTATACATTAACACGTTCTAAATTGATGCAACATGTGATTTAAATATTGCGATCAATAATTATTACAAAAATAAGTTTTATACCCAATCTAAATCCAAATGAAGAATATATGAAATTATGTAGGCAAAAATAATAATGTTTTGAATATTTTGTAAATATGATTAATGCTATCAAATATTTTGCTGTTTATATTTGTTGAACAGGATTCATATTATTTTTTTAATGCGATACTCTTCAACAAAATTTTACATTTTTAATGTAGTTGTATTTGTTAAAATATGTAAAATACTGGAAATTTGTAATTGAAAAGTTTAAGATTGATTATTAAATATGTGAAATAATAATCAGAAAGTCATCTTTAAATAGTTTAGACATAATGACATGGCGATTGAGCCTCCATAAAAATGTCAGATTATCGCGCTTAATTAAACTGTAATTACGTAATTTTATTCACATTTGATTCTCTATTGTAACATTTATACTATGTACATTATGGAAAAGAATTAATGCATTTATATAAATGTGTATCAGTTTTCTCCTTTATTTGTGAAAAAAATTTGTTTTTCATCAAATTAATAAAATAAACTATAAAGTATAACATATATTTACACGTAAACATATATATTTTTTAAATAAAATTGAATAAACTATACAAGAAAATTATTTTAATGATTTTTCAACTTTATTTTAAAAAGTATGCATGTGCGCGCGCGCACGCGTGCGTGTGTAAATTCGTTATTGTAGTAATTCTATAAAAAAGTAAATTTTTTACGGATATAGGAAAAAACGATATTTCAATCGTTTCTACATTTTTATCAGAAAAAAAATGTTTTTCTTAACGTTTTTCAAGTAGGTATTTTAATCAATTAGAAACGTTTTCAAGAGCCAGTTATAAAACGATTTGAAGAAACATTTGTGGAACGTTTCTTAAACGAATATCTGCTGAGATTATATAATTTATATTTACAATAAATATGGTATTGTACAAATTTACAATTACAAATGCGGTTGTTATGTTCTTATCAAATTTTATATTTCTATCTCTGCTTTGCGATATATATGCATATTTAATGTACGGACCTACTTTGTGTGTGTATGTGTGTGTGTATGTGTGTGTGTATACATATTACTCTCTCACACACACCCACATACGTGCACGCGCGCGGATTTCTTAAAGAGTTAAAAATATATATTAAGAATTATATATATATTTAATTTATTTTAAATTATATTTAATTCGTAGTTTGTAACATACATTAAAAATGTAAATGTAGCAAAAAATAGAATAATTTTATATAATATGAGAAATTTGTTGTATGATCTAATCCTTCGTTGTTAACATTCAAATGTCATTGAATGAAGTCAATATACGTATACTTCAAAATATCTTTACGCACATCAAATATCAAAAAACATAATTAATTCTCATAAATAGATATTATATTTATAATTGCATGCAAAAGATTGTTCATGTTACCAGTTCAATATAATTAGAAAATGTGTTTTGTAAGTATCTACACACATACGCACACATTCACACCTTATTTCATATTTCTCTTTTATGATATATTTTTTCTAATTTTTAAAATTTTTGTTTTCTACGTCTAAAAAATATTTTATTACATTTTTTAGAATATTGAATTGATATTTATTTTTTTATATATTTATATCTATTTTATATTTATTATAATTTTAATTTGAAAGTCTACACACATGTGGTATTCTTAACAGTTTAATCAATTAATTATAATTACAATTATGTGCAGATTTCTTTAGCAGACTTCTATTAATGAATTATTGACGTTATTGTTTCAGCTTTATCATGGCACTCGTACTCTTCCCTTCACAAGAAAATTACATGCAATAGCGACAAGGACATGGCGTTGCATAATGAAAAAAAACATACCGTCATAGTGCGCAAGCGGATTTACATATGCACTGATTGCGGCAAGGGTTTCACGTTGAGGATAAAACTCTTGAAACATCGGAAGTTGGAATGTATAAACCTATAAGGTAACAGATAGTACAAGCTGAAGTTTAACCGTAAGATTTTTCGGTAAATGGTGTGTCGACAGGTACAGGAAGAGATACCGTGCAGAGCGCCTTCTAAAATCAATTTTCGGCTGCAATTAACTCTCACACTCGTAATAATTTCTATTAAATTGTCTCAACAATATTTGCAATATATTGACATATTCTTTCAACTATTTGTGACGTTATTAATATTGAAATATTGATATCGTCTATGAAGTCGTCTCGGAATTAATGTTAAATTTGCGTGCACTTATGCCTGATGTTGCTAATTGCTTTTATTAACCGATTTGACGTTGGTGTTTCAGCGATTTGGCCTTACAAGAGGATCGATGGATACGACATCAACGATATGCAATATCAACAACGAGGAAGTACTGTCTACGAAACACGCGAGAGGACTTACATGTGCGCAGATTGTGGCAAGAATTACGCGGTGAAGAGATCCCTTTGGAGACATCGGAAATTTGAGTGTGTGAATGCAAAACCGAAGTTCAGCTGTGACATGTGTACATACAAGAGTCCTCACAAATGGTGCATTGACAAACATAGAAAAAAGCATCACGGCATATTCTACAATCGCTTCCCTAATTAAAGATCGTAGCTATTAAACTGATGTTAAATGTTGTAATTGTTCTTGAAATAATTTTTTTTTTTAATGACATTTTGTTTTACTAATCCTCTAATTTTACCGAATACTGTTACATTTTTCCAATTTTTATGTACAATTTTATCAATAAAATAATTTATTGGTAGAAGAATTTATAACCTGCATGTGAATAGGTATATTCTTTGGGGGGATATAATAATTTAGGTATATAATCAAAATAATTAGTAGTCTATTTGAGAATAATACAACACATACACACACACATCTGTATGTATGTATGTATGTATACAGGGTTCGCAAATTCAACTGATAAACTTTCAGAGATTGTCGGGGGCACCAAAAGGATCATTTTTGCAAATACAATTTGCTGATCCAGCCAATTAGGCTCGACTTGACCTTGACAACATCACCCAAAATCAAACCCATAAGGTCAGTAAATAAATCTTTTTACATCCTACAACTTTTTTTTGTCTGAATCAAGTTTTTATAAAACTTATATTTTTTTAAATATTTCGAAGTTCAATCTTTTTCAAATACTCTACCGTAGCGATGCAATGACACGCTCCCTTAGATTCGTTTGCAAAAAATGATCCTTTTGGTGCTACGACAATTTCTGAAATTTATTGATTGAATTTCCGAACATCCTGTATACAAAATTATATATATTGCATTTCTCTCAAATTGGTAATCTTAAGTATTATTGTCGCATTTCATTGCGACAAAGGTAACATTAGCATTAATTTTAATTTTTATTATCGAAAAAGTGCAATGTATTTATGGAATTTAAATTTTCAAAAATATTCTTTTATGTGATAATTAATACATTGTAGTTTCATTAGGTATATTGTGGATTCTGACTTTAATTTTAAAAAAAAAAGGAACATCCTTTTTATTTTTTGAAATAATACGTATACCAATGAACTGTATTTGTCTCTGAAAATTTTTTGTCAAACTTTATTACATTTATATTCTTGTATGATTTATAAATTACGACTATTATACTGTAAATACAATTATATATAATATAACCGGAGACACTACCGCGTCTCCTGATAACAATATGATGATTATATATAATATAATATGTACCTAAATGTGTTAAATGTGAAATAAATTAAATGTTCTTTGTAACAAGCACAATGTTCATTATTTTGTTGAATTTCTAGTGATACATCGACATTTGTATTAAGATATATATGTATTTGTAATATCTATGAAGCATTAAAATATATATACTGATAATTAATATGAAAATTAATTTCTTTATGGAAATTAATTTCTTTATGGAAAATTTTTACCCTTCAGGTACTTACTTTTACAACAACGACCAACATATCTTTGAATAAAATTCACACTACGAAAATAAAAATTGTTGAGAAGTTGCAAGAATACAGAAGAAACTAAAGAAAAATGAGATACTGGGATATAAAGTTTTGAATATAAAATAGATAGTATAATAACAACAAACATAAGTGGAAGAGAATTAAATATAGGAGACATTGTACCTAACCATTATTATTATTATTATTATTATTATTATTATTATTATTATTATTATTAATATTATTATTATTTGGTGTTTTCATTTTTCAGTTATTCCTTGGAAAGTTTTCACAAATTTTATCAAAAATCTGTTGTATTCGTTTTTTGGAATATTGTAATATAGATTCTATCTCTAGAAAGAAGAAATTTGTAAGAAAATACAATGTAATACAAGTTAGGAAAAATCGTTTAAGAATTAATATTATAGATATATTAACGCAAAAGTTCTTTTTTAGTTTAATATTTGAATTTTAATCGTTAAGTTTCATGATATCTTATGAGGATATCGAATAGTAAAATGTTTGTATATATTATTTTAACAACGAGTGCTTTATATTTTACATAGAATAGAAACATATTTGGCGGCTTGGTAAATTAGTTTCTAATCTTCCTGTGATTTCGAATCAGGCTCCTTTTAGAACTTATAGAGTAGTTGTTCTTGTGTGAATTATATTTGCAAAGTTTTCCGAGCTTTTGTTGATTTTTAGGATGGCTTTTAAATCTAAGGGATGCATCAAGCTTCCGGAAAGAGCACATTTCCGATCTTTTTGTGTCAAAAAATATTCGTCTAAGATAATCAAAATCTTTAGTTGGATTTATGAGATATCGATTATAGATATATTTAATTGATTTTACGTTTCATGAAAATTTTATTTAGATTCAGTTTATAATTATTTCATACTTATTACAAAGTCGAACAGATTAAAAAGAAATTACTTCTTGATGTAGACGCATTAATTGTTTCTATTTTGGCTGATATGAATGTTTCGAATTGTCTTTTTTTCATTGTATTTTTATTCGAAAATTAGAATTTACATATATTCACACAATGTGAAATAATTACATCTCATAAGTCGGACTGATCATCGCCTTAGATATTCGCGAGTGCTTTCATCATTCTATACTGCTGTTTTTGTTGAATCCTTTTCTTTTGCGAGGCTTGAACAGCTCAGTTAGTTTTCGCTTAACTAACTAACTTGGTTCCTTTGATTCCAGCTTACCGGAAGATGTACATGGGCGATCAGGTTCTCGGCTACACTTGCACTATGTGCAGCAAGTTCTACAAGATGTGGAGTAACTATTTGAAACACAAATGTGAACCACCGCAATTCAAGTGTCCGCTATGCCCATTTGCTGCCTTCAAAGCCTTCATCCTGCACGCTCATCAGGCAGAGCAGCACTTCAAAGTTACTTCGCCGAACACTTAAACGATCTACGGCGATCTAGATCGAGGAGGAATTGTCAAATTGCCTTAGTCGTCGTTATGATTCTTCGTGGCATGTGTGCCATACTGCCATGACTGTCAAACCATTCACCAGAAATGAAAGTGTTTGCTCTACTGAAAAAAAATCATGTCACAAAGTTATATAACAAAATCATGTAATTAAATATGTAAATGACGTAACGCGGATGGTTTCAATCAAATCAGTACATAATTTTGTTATATAATTTTGTGACGTGATTTTTTACAGTAGGGTGCAGCTTTAAAACGCAAGGATTTATGAGCAAGTCATTTTGAGACGTCGACGACCGTTTTCTACGTAGTCCCGATTAGAAATCATGTGAAAAAGAAGCATTTTCTTCGAAGAATATATTTTTTCTAAACTCGCCACAAAGACGATGATGTAGTTCCCGAGTCGTTATTATAAAATAGTTCGACTTATTGCGTTACTTTTTGTAATCAGCGATCGGCGCATTTTGTGAAAAGATTCAGATCTCACAGATGAACGGTGCATACAAATTTATAAGTGAAAAATAGAAATAAAAATCGTCATTTGTAGTATATCTTTCTCCTCCCTAACGCTTTATTATATAATTATATAGTACAGTAACGCGATCGAGATATGCAGAAATATAATGCGATAGTTCGTATATCAGTGTAACGAGTAGCGTAGTTTAATCTACGATCAATCGTAAAGGAAAGAAGACTGAATGACAATAATAAGGCTTAGAAGATTATCTCTCATTTGTATCATGCTTTAAACTACTATATAAACCTTTAAATATCATAAGCCACGCATTTTTTCCTTCTTAAAAGAATGTGATATTCTATCGGAGGAGTAGGTATGTTCACCTCACTGCATGTAAGGCCAAGCATTGAAAAGAACAAAATATACTATAAATGAATATTTTGTTCACCGAAGATCAGTATTGAGATCTGATGATAGATATTACTGCAATATTATAAACAATCAATTCTCTCTTTTACTCTTGCATACATTAATTTGAAAATTTTATCTCGGCACAAAGTGTTGTGCTGGCCGCTTACATGAACCTATAAAAGACCGTATAATCCATAGTATTTATAAATGCATGTATTTTCGTAATTCTAATAATAAAGTATCAGAAAAGCATCTAAAACGAAATGATAGTCTTATTCTCAGTTAGCAAGTCAATACGATATATTAAGTATGGCGATCCTCTCTTTTACTCTTCCCCCATCGTTTAGTAAAACCTGCGATCGATGATCGAATCGATATTTTATATATATTCAACAATAACAACAATATAAATCTTATTTTGATGAACTAAACTTTTTCATTACTTTAAAAATTTTTTTAATTATGTTTTTTTTTTACAGAATCTTGTAATTGTTGATTTCATTTAATATAAAATCCATTTCTCTCTCATTACTGTTTTTTTTCAGAATTGATCAATGCCGCCTCTGTTTTACTCCAAGTATATTTTTTCAGAGCGCTACTAATAGACGATTGAATGCGCTCTCTGTTTCAGATCGCCCGAAGGATTTCGCAGGATTTCAAGAGCTTAACGAGCTACCCGGTACGACACAGAAAACATTGGATATATACCGCGCACGCAGAATGCTAATATCGATGCTAAATGCTTTTGTGGAGACGAGAGCATTGTTGATTGTCGTGACGAGTATTAAGATGGTTATTTAAAATTGCTTTCTTCCTTCCGTTTCAGGTTTCCACATTTGCTGCGAATGCCAAAAAACGTACAAGTCGCGGATGGCCCTGAATCGACATGTGCGAGAGGAATGCGGCAGAATCTTGTATACCTGTCCGTACTGTCGCAACATCATGCCGATGAAGTTTAATCTATTGAATCACTTGAAGAAGGAGCACGGTTGCTAAGATTTAACTCGACGAACAATTGCCGAAGAAATAATTCTCTTGTCATTTTACGATCGTAATTGATTGATATTAATATTGCTTCTTTCCCATACAGCACAAAATATTGAGAAATATATTTTCAAAAATGATTTTTT